CTACCTTTTTCATTTAAAAAGCAATAGGTTTTTAAATGTAATTTTGCTATGTTAAAAGGACATTATTCAGGTTGCAAAGTCAAGCACTTGAAAATCAGGAAATGTCAGATATATGGTTTCCCATTCAACATTAATTCTGCACCATTATGTATACGCATTAAAATAAATATAATTACATGATCATGTACTATTTTGTCCATAGGACCCCCTACCTCATTCAGTGCACAGATGCGTGGCAGACATAAGGTTGCATGAGCGGCTATAAATCTGGCATCACCTAACTTTCAAGAGCTTGACTTTGCAACCTAAATAATATGCTTTTCACCTTTATTTTTATATATATAAAATTATTTATGGAGTGCCAGCCATATGCTAAGAATACAGCTAGAAAAAAAGAAAGTTATTCTTCTGAAGTAAGAATTAATTACTGCATAATACAAAGGTAGTTTATTTTGAAATGTGTGTTAATTTCAATGTTTTTGATGTAGTAATGTCTTTTTCAATTTGACATTCTGTTAGTTCACATGATAATAACATTCACAAAACACTTAAATATAAAATATCAGACATTTAATGTAATCTGATTTCCTTGGAGTCTTGGTTGGATGCATTGAAAATGTAACCTTGCATAACAGGAATGAGTCATGTCTGGTCAATTGCTAAAATATCATTGTAAATCTAATGCTGTAGGTGGGACTGCTGTTTCCTATGCCAGGCAGCAGAAGGTCAGTGGAGATTGAAGTGAATTAATGAGTTGAGACACAGCAGTTGCACACTGCTGTATCAGTCCTTTTGGAAAATGGGAGGAATATTGGTCAGTTGTGGGGTTCTTGATGGTAAAAGTTTAGTGAGCAAACTGCTCACAACATTGAAATTGATCCTTTATTTAATATAGTGTTATTTTAAAAACAAAACAAAAGCACCCTCCATTCTCACATCTGATTGCAGCAATAATATTTTAATGGCTTACTTAAAGCCTTACAAACATCTGAAGAGCATCTTTTAAAAACAAACTTGTTTTTAAACAATCATGAAAAACATACTGAAAAATATATATTAACTTACACTTGCTACTGTGAAATAAATATCTCAAGAAGTTCAGTGTCAGACTAACAATCATATCTCACACTCTAGCTGTCTTTGCTGTGAATTTAAAGAACAAAATTAATCAAATTACAAACCCAGCAGCCTGCTACAAAAGTCCTCCCCAAAAGCCAATCTCTATCAAGCCCTCTCTCTCCCACACTCACCCCCAAAAGCTTGAATAAATAGATTTGCCTTGCACTGTGCTCTGAAGATGAACAAATCTGATCTGAAAGTACCCAAGAGAGGATGTAGTTCCAAAGCTGAGGGCCCCTCATTGAGAATGCTCTACCAATTGCCCTTTCGAAGTGGATCCAGGTCAAATGCTGCTGCTGACCACAACTGTGGCAGTGATGGGTGGGGAGACGCAAGTATCTCAAATATGCTGGTCCCAGGCCATTTAGAATTGTAGAAGTATAGGACTGGAAGATACCTCAATAGGTCATCTAATCCAGATCCCTGCACTCAAGGCAGGACTAAGTAATAACTAGACCATTCCTGACAGATGTTTCTCTAACCTCTTCATAAAAACCGCCACAACCTCCCTAGGCGATTTGTTCCAGTATTTAACTACTCTGGCAGTTAAGAGGTTTTTCCTAATGTCCGACCTAAATCTGCCTTGCTGCAATTTAAACCCATTGCTTCTTGTCCTATCCTCGAAGGTTAAGGAGAACAATTTTTCACTCTTCTTGTAACAACCTTTTACATACTTGAAAACTGTTATCATGGACCCCCTCAGTCTTCTCTTCTCTAGACGAAACAAACCCAATTTTTTTCAATCCTTCCTCATAGGTCATGTTTTCTAGACCTTTAATCATGTTTGCTGCTTCTTCTGGACTTTCTCCAATTTGTCCACATCTTTCCTGAAATGTGGCATCCGGAACTGGACGCAATAATCAGTTGAGGTCTTATCAGTGCAGAGTGGAAGAATTACTACTTGTGTCTTGCTTACAGAACTCCTGCTGATACATGCCAGAATAATGTTCACTTTTTTGCGATTAGTGTTACACTGCTGAATTAGAGCTAAATGGTGGGGTGGGGGGGACCCCAAATCGCTAACAAATTTCATCCAGATACCAATGAGCAATGATTCCCAAACCACAGGTGTCATGTGCTCCAGCCAAGATACACCACTGAAAAGTTGGGCTTCAGCATTCTGTACCAGCATAAGTCTCCAGATGCTTAATGCATAGTTCCATATAAAATGTATATCAGGAATCTCATTTTAAGATAACATCAGCATGAATCATGGTAGCAAGGTTCTCATCTGAAAAACGGATTTGGTCTTCTAGCCAGAGGCAAATGGGAGTGGCATTCTGTGGTTGGCTAGGAGCTGCTGGGGAAACAAAACCATCCCCAGATTTGCAAATTCTAGTAACATTTGAGAGAGACACCCTCCCTAAGAGAGTCACAAACAATCCTTTTGATAACTTTAGGGTTGCCTTTACCCAAAACAGCCACCATTTCCCATTGGATCTGAAGCTACAGTCTGCCTCCAGCAAATATAGCCACCACCTTGCATTGTTTCTAAGGGGGTTGAGGCTAAGCTACTCTCTAGAAAGATGGCGGCTCCTCAGATACTACGTGAGGACCAGGCAGAGGACAGGAGAAGTGTGAAGGGAATGAGAGAGTGTGTGTGTGTGTGTGTGTGTGTGGTGGTGGTGGTGGTGGGGGGAACTGTTCAGGGGTGAGTTTGGGAAGCAGGACAAGAAACTGATAGGGTGGGTGCAGAAGAATATGGGGGCACAGGGCAGGTTGAGGGGGCTGCAAGAGAATGTGGTGGGTAGAAGACTGAGAGGGAAGGAATTATTGGGGACAAATGAGTTTAAGAGGCAGGGGAAGAACAGGAGACTGGGTGGCAAAAACAGAGCGGGAATTTCAGCCGGGCAGTTCCCTATCCTACCTAGTTAAAGGGAGATAAAGAGCAAAAGAGTGAAAATTTTGGGGAGAGGAGAGTTTAAGACCCTTCTGAGCAGTGAGCCTGGAGGCCTGCATTTGTGTGTACATCTAAGGTTGAATTTTGTAACTGCAGGGATCATGCACAAATAGGAGGACAATAGCTTCCCCTAAGAGTGAAAAAATCAGCAGGAAGGAGAAAAATAGTGATTTTTAAAAATCTCTTTATTTTTAAGTCAGTCTCATGATTTTTTGGAGACGGTTTTTTGAATGTTTGGTATTGAGATTACTGATTTTATCCAGATTGAGTTTCTGCCAGCAAGCTTGTATCGATGCCTGAATCTCACCCAGGCACTGGGCCTGGCATTGAGCAGCCCTTGCTGGGTCAGGTGAGAGAGGCAGAGAGATAATCATGCTTTCAGCATACCGAAAGCAACACAACATATACTTTGTACTAACCCACTTTGTTGTGCAGTAATCTGCCTCTCTTGCAATCATGACATTGCTCTAGCTTCAACTTGCTCTTGCTGTTTACCCCAGCTTGAAGAGGAGGAGGATTGATAGAAAACATGATTTTAGAATACCCAAAAGAAATAAGTATAAAGAGGAGAAAATGTGTACTAATTATCAAATTCTGTCTTTTGACAAAATTAGTAAATAATGTGCAAGATGTCTTCTCTTAACATGTTAGTGCTGGGGAAGTTAAATTTAATATACAGTTATGGAATTGATTGCGTGACCAGGATAATGTTGTATAGCACCAGTTATTTGTTCCAGACACAAGTGCTTGAAATAAATATTTTTTTCTTCACCATATGAATCACAACTCATTACTGAGTGCAGAGCCAGTAGAACTCCTGTAGAATATAATTGCCACACGTGGTTTGTAGGCACCAGTAAGGTACAGAACTAAAATCTGTTTAGAGAAATCTCTATATATTGAATCACCCCTACACCCATTTTTTATTTTTTCCTATATGTCCTTGAAAGAAGGATCTAGTTTTGCAGATTTTGGCAGGTTTTTTTGGCTATTTTAAAATAATTTGTTTCCTTTTGTTTGTTCCAGAGTCGGTAAGCATACTGAACGATGTGCTAAGTCAAATAGAGTCTGAAGAAGTTTCCATGAATCCCACAAGCTATACTAGATCCGCTTCTTCAGGCTTTGACCCAGTAAGTAAAAATGCTTCTGCAAGGAACTCAGCTTGTAGCTATCAAAAGACCCAAAGCAAGGACAAGCTTGCTCACAGCATGTGATCAAAAGCTTTGGCTTGCTTTCTGTAAAGGTCACTTTTTTAGATGCGAACTAGAGCAGAAATAATAAACTTGCGCCCTATTCTCCTCTCATTTTCTCTAATTGGTGGTAGAATTTTTGAAGCTAGATATATAAATTAAGCTATAAGACCTATCACCGCTTGCACTTTAGAGCATTCAGACACCCTAAATACGATATTGTTCAGAATGAGGTGAAGACAGCACATCTCTGGTTTTTACCTGACAGAACAAGGCTCTTTGTGAAGTGTTTTTTCTTATCTTTCACTTGGCTGATTTCCACAAGTTCTAGGTGGGATGAGCTGGCTATTACAGTGTAAACTGTTTCATTAGTATTGGTCTTTAATCATGATTGTTTATTGAGCTGTCCACTGAAACATTTTTTTCTTTGAAATACTGTGTAGTGTAATTTGCAGGATGCAGTTCTTTATTGCTATATAGTCTACGGTGATATAGACAAGGCTTTCTTACAGTATTTATTGTTATAGAATATATTTAAAGGAAAACAAACAAACACCACTTTGGTTCCAGAAATATCTTCCCTGTGACATGGCATGCAAGTAGGACTGTCGATTAATCACAGTTAACTCACGTGATTAACTAAAAAAAATTAATTGCAATTAAAAAAGATTAATTGTGATTAATGGCAGTTCTAATCGCACTGTTAAACAATAGAATACAAATTAAAATTTATTCAATATTTGATGTTTTTCTACATTTTCATATATATTCTGTGTTGTATTTGAAATGAAAGTTTATATTTTTATTACAAATATTTGCACTATAAAATGATAAAATAAATAGTATTTTTCAATTCACCTCATACAAGTACTGTAGTACAATCTCTTTGTCATGCAAGTGCAACTTACAAATGTAGGGTTTTTTTTTGTAACATAACTGCATTCAAGAACAAAACAATGTAAAACTTCAGAGCCTCTAAGCCCTGGTCTACACTAGGACTTTAGGTCGAATTTAGCAGCGTTAAATCGATGTAAACCTGCACCCGTCCACACAATGAAGCCCTTTATTTCGACTTAAAGGGCTCTTAAAATCGATTTCCTTACTCCACCCCTGACAAGTGGATTAGCGCTTAAATCGACGTTGCCGGCTCGAATTTGGGGTACTGTGGACACAATTCGATGGTATTGGCCTCCGGGAGCTATCCCAGAGTGCTCCATTCTGACCGCTCTGGACAGCACTCTCAACTCAGATGCACTGGCCAGGTAGACAGGAAAAGAACCGCGAACTTTTGAATCTCATTTCCTGTTTGGCCAGCGTGGCAAGCTGCAGGTGACCATGCAGAGCTCATCAGCACAGGTGACCATGATGGAGTCCCAGAATCGCAAAAGAGCTCCAGCATGGACCGAACGGGAGGTACGGGATCTGATCGCTGTTGGGGAGAGGAATCCGTGCTATCAGAACTCCGTTCCAGTTTTCGAAATGCCAAAACCTTTGTCAAAATCTCCCAGGGCATGAAGGACAGAGGCCATAACAGGGACCCGAAGCAGTGCCGCGTGAAACTGAAGGAGCTGAGGCAAGCCTACCAGAAAACCAGAGAGGCGAACGGCCGCTCTGGGTCAGAGCCCCAAACATGCCGCTTCTATGATGAGCTGCATGCCATTTTAGGGGGTTCAGCCACCACTACCCCAGCCGTGTTGTTTGACTCCTTCAATGGAGATGGAGGCAATACGGAAGTAGGTTTTGGGGACGAAGAAGATGATGATGAGGAGGAGGTTGTAGCTAGCTCACAGCAAGCAAGCGGAGAAACCGGTTTTCCCGACAGCCAGGAACTGTTTCTCACCCTAGACCTGGAGCCAGTACCCCCCGAACCCACCCAAGGCTGCCTCCTGGACCCAGCAGGCGGAGAAGGGACCTCTGGTGAGTGTACCTTTTAAAATGCTATACATGGTTTAAAAGCAAGCATGTGAAAGGATTACTTTGCCCTGGCATTTGCGGTTCTCCTAGATGTAGTCCTAAAGCCTTTGCAAAAGGTTTCTGGGGAGGGCAGCCTTATTTCGTCCTTCATGGTAGGACACTTTACCACTCCAGGCCAGTAACACATACTCGGGAATCGCTGTAGAACAAAGCATTGCAGTGTATGTTTGCTGGCATTCAACCAAAATCCGTTCTTTATCTCTCTGTGTTATCCTCAGGAGAGTGAGATATAATTCATGGTCACCTGATTGAAATAGAGTGCTTTTCTTCAGGGGACACTCAGAGGAGCCCATTCCTGCTGGGCTGTTTGCCTGTGGCTAAACAGAAATGTTCCCCGCTGTTAGCCACAGGGAGGGGAGAAGGTTGAGGGGGTAGTCACGTGGTGGGAGGAGGCAAAATGCGACCTTGTAACGAAAGCACATGTGCTATGTATGTAATGTTAACAGCAAGGTTTACCCTGAAAGAGTGTAGCGACTGTTTTATAAAATGTGTCTTTTTAAATACCGCTGTCCCTTTTTTTTTCTCCACCAGCTGCATGTGTTTCAATGATCACAGGATCTTCTCCTTCCCAGAGGCTAGTGAAGCTTAGAAAGAAAAAAAAAACGCACTCGCGATGAAATGTTCTCCGAGCTCATGCTGTCCTCCCACACTGACAGAGCACAGACGAATGCGTGGAGGCAAATAATGTCAGAGTGCAGGAAAGCACAAAATGACCGGGAGGAGAGGTGGAGGGCTGAAGAGAGTAAGTGGCGGGCTGAAGAGAGGGCTGAAGCTCAAATGTGGCGGCAGCGTGATGAGAGGAGGCAGGATTCAATGCTGAGGCTGCTGGAGGACCAAACCAGTATGCTCCAGTGTATGGTTGAGCTGCAGCAAAGGCAGCTGGAGCACAGACTGCCACTGCTGCCCCTCTGTAACCAACCGCCCTCCTCCCCAAGTTCCATAGTCTCCACACCCAGACGCCCAAGAACGCGGTGGGGGGGCCTCCGGCCAACCAGCCACTCCACCACAGAGGATTGCCCAAAAAAAAGAAGGCTGGCATTCAATAAATTTTAAAGTTGTAAACTTTTAAAGTGCTGTGCTTAAAGTGCTGTGTGGCATTTTCCTTCCCTCCTCCACCACCCCTCCTGGGATACCTTGGTAGTCATCTCCCTATTTGTGTGATGAATGAATAACGAATGCATGAATGTGAAGCAGCAATGACTTTATTGCCTCTGCAAGCAATGATTAAAGGGAGGAGGGGAGGGTGGTTAGCTTACAGGGAAGTAGAGTGAACCAAGGGGCGGGGGGTTTCATCAAGGAGAAACAAACAGAACTTTCACACCGTAGCCTGGCCAGTCATGAAACTGGTTTTCAAAGCTTCTCTGATGCGTTCTCCTGTGCTCTCCTGTGCTCTTCTAACCGCCCTGGTGTCTGGCTGCGCGTAACCAGCAGCTAGGCGATTTGCCTCAACCTCCCACCCCGCCATAAACGTCTCCCCCTTACTCTCACAGATATTGTGGAGCACACAGCAAGCAGTAATAACAGTGGGAATATTGGTTTCGCTGAGGTCTAAGCGAGTCAGTAAACTGCGCCAGCGCGCCTTTAAACGTCCAAATGCACATTCTACCACCATTCTGCACTTGCTCAGCCTGTAGTTGAACAGCTCCTGACTACTGTCCAGGCTGCCTGTGTACGGCTTCATGAGCCATGGCATTAAGGGGTAGGCTGGGTCCCCAAGGATACATATAGGCATTTCAACATCCCCAACAGTTATTTTCTGGTCTGGGAATAAAGTCCCTTCCTGCAGCTTTTGAAACAGACCAGAGTTCCTGAAGATGCGAGCATCATGCACCTTTCCCGGCCATCCCACGTTGATGTTGGTGAAACATCCCTTGTGATCCACCAGAGCTTGCAGCACTATCGAAAAGTACCCCTTGTGGTTTATGTACTCGGCGGCTTGGTGCTCCGGTGCCAAGATAGGGATATGGGTTCCGTCTATAGCCCCACCACAGTTAGGGAATCCCATTGCAGCAAAGCCATCCACTATGACCTGCACATTTCCCAGGGTCACTACCCTTGATATCAGCAGATCTTTGATTGCGTGGGCTACTTGCATCACAGCAGCCCCCACAGTAGATTTGCCCACTCCAAATTGATTCCCAACTGACCGGTAGCTGTCTGGCGTTGCAAGCTTCCACAGGGCTATCACCACTCGCTTCTCAACTGTGAGGGCTGCTCTCATCTTGGTATTCATGCGCTTCAGGGCAGGGGAAAGCAAGTCACAAAGTTCCATGAAAGTGCCCCTACGCATGCGAAAGTTTCGCAGCCACTGGGAATCGTCCCAGACCCGCAACACTATGCGGTCCCACCAGTCTGTGCTTGTTTCCCGAGCCCAGAATCGGCGTTCCACAGCATGAACCTGCCCCATTAGCACCATGATGCATGCATTGGCAGGGCCCATGCTTTCAGAGAAATCTGTGTCCATGTCCTGATCACTCACGGGACGGCGCTGACGTCGCCTCCTCTCCCGGTATCGCGTTGCCATGTTCTGGTGCTGCATATACTGCTGGATAATGCGTGTGGTGTTTAATGTGTTCCTAATTGCCAAAGTGAGCTGAGCGGCGCTCCATGCTTGCAGTGGTATGGCGTCTGCACAGGTAACTCAGGAAAAAAGGCGCAAAATGATTGTCTGCCCTTGCTTTCACGGGGTGGGGGAGGGAGGGAACGGGGGGCTGACGATATGTACCCAGAACCACCCGCGACAATGTTTTAGCCCCATCAGGCATTGGGATCTCAACCCAGAATTCCAATGGGCAGCGGAGACTGCGGGAACTGTGGGATAGCTACCCACAGTGCAACGCTCCGGAAGTCGACGCTTGCGTCGGTACTGTGGAAGCGCTCCGCCGAGTTAATGCACTTAATGCACTTAGAGCATTTTCTGTGGGGACACACACACTCGAATATATAAAACTGATTTCTAAAAAACCGACTTCTATAAATTCGACCTAATTTCGTAGTGTAGACTTACCCTAAGTGCACTCAGTCCTACTTCTGGTTCAGCCAATCGTGCAATTACCATATATACTCATTCATTAGCCTGTTTGTCTAAAAGCTGACCAACCAAGTTGGAAAGGTAAAAACAGTAAAAACTGTATGACCCTTTCATAAGCCTACCCTATATTTCCGGGGGTTGGCAAACTTTGGCTCCCGGCCCATTAGGGTAAGCTGCTGGCAGGTTGGGACATTTTGTTTACCTGGAGCGTCTGCAGGCATGGAGCCCCTCAGCTCCCTGTGGCCGCGGTTCGCCATTCCCAGCCAATGGGAGCTGCGGGAACTGGGGGTCTCCATGCCTGCAGACACTCCAGGTAAACAAAACAGCAATGTATTAGATATTCAATTCAATGATTTCATAGAGTTTAAAATAATCAAATCTTGGTGTAGACCCATTTATAAGCCAACCCCCGCTCTTTGATGAGTCACTTTTTTACCAAAAATATTCAGCTTATGAATGAGTATATAAGGTAATTTTTTGGATCATGTGATCAATGTTTTTGATCACTTGACAGCCCTACATGTAAGTAATCATAGCAAGACTGTTAATATATTATGTTGCAGTTATATGATGATTTTGCCTGCGGAAAGTAAATTGAAATAAAATATTACATAGCATTTAACTTTGAATTATACTATATTTTTTTAATCCACAGAGCAAATATGTTGGCCAAAAGTTGCCCACAGTGGTGTATAATTATACTCACTTGCAACCGATTTTGTACGCTCTTGGTGTGGGAATGACAACCAAGGATCCAGATCATCTAAAATTTGTTTTTGAAGGCAGTGAAGCATTCTGTTGTTTACCTACCTTTGGGGTCATCCCAGCTCAGGCATCTTTGTGGGATGGTGGACTTTCTAGTGTTGCAGGACTCAACAGTGACTTCACAAAAGTATGTATGATTTAGACATTGCAATTTATTTTGTGTTACATGCTATATAAATTGACTGTAATTGAAATGGCTCAGTATATACACCAAAACTTCAGAGATAGCTGCTGTTCTAGAAAGAGAAAAAGTAACAGGCTCCGATTTCTTGCAACCCAGGGAAAAACTTATATTGAAATGAGTTACCTACCTCTCTCGCATAGATTTTGTGTGGGTTTTTTTTTCCCCCTAAGATGCTTATGAATCACATGTGTGTATCTCTCTCTTTTTTTTTTTTTTTTTTTTAAGTGGGAATCTTGCTTGAAGAGCAGCATCCTCTTTATTAAAAACCAAAAACCTTTATCTCGCCCTGACATTTTTTTTTGGTAATGGAGGGATTTTATTTTTGAGCAATTTCTTTTGCTCTTTCCAGGGATGAAGCTCTCTACCATAGATAATCTAGAAAGCAAGTACAGTAGGTGTAATCTTTCCTTTTTTTAATTAGTTGACAATGTACACCTCTGCAAACACTCTTCAAACTGTGTATCTACATATATCTGTGTATACATTTAGCTATATATCGAACAAATATAAATTATATAAAGCTGCCTTCTTCAAGAATATGATGTCATAAGAAATTTAGTATTTCATAGCTGAAATATGATTTTTAAAAAGCTTAAAAATGTAAGATTTACAGCATTTTCCATACTGGGACTGCAGTCTGCATAAAAACTAAAGAAAGTTGTATAAATGACTGTGTTGTTTTAGTCACAATCCTGCCACCCCATGAATTTTTTCATAGCTGTCTTGACGTCAAACTCTGAAGTTTCCTTTAAAAAGCCAACAAACAAAATCCAAACACCAGATGGCCAAACCCATAATATTATGTATGTATTGAACCAGAATCACTGCTGCTGCCTTTTGTTGACTGCACATGAGATGCGCTGTTGTGTTTGTGAGAAGCTAAGGAAAAAAGATAGTGCTCCACAAAACAGAGGGATGCCTCTTCAAAAGGTTGTAGTGTCTATTATTCTTACCATGTTCCACACATAGGCTATGGCAAGAAGAGCAACATATCAACATCCGCATCCTGGGAATGGTGGTATAGAGTGAAATATTATTCTCCCTCTCTCCTTGGTCCCATACATTAAAGTAAATTACAGTCAAAAGGCTCTCCCCTGCGTGTTGTTTGTCTTCAAATTCCCTGCATTACAAATCTGAGTGGTTGTTACCCATTCAAAGCCCTGAATTGTAAATAGGATATTTGTTAAAGCATTTTTTAAAAGGTTTACTTCTACACCTGAACTATTTTTTAAAGTAATTTTAAACCTAGGAACTTGGTGTTATTCAGTGAAATCACATAGCTTAGCATGAAATCTGCCGCAGTACAGAAGGCGTTTTAAATGGTGTTTACTCTAATTGAAAATCTGTAATAGATGCTCGAGGAGTGAATGAACAGTTAATCATAACTGTTTGGTGCTGGATGTTATGAAAAATGGACTCCACTTCAGAAGTTTTGAATGATTAAAAGGATAGCATAAATATGCTGGAAATATTTTAACATTTACTTAAAATTTAGAAAATCTGAAATTTTCCCTGCTGTCCATCTCATTGACGTTCTCTTTTGAATGCACTTTCTTTTAAGATGATTTCTGAGGTTAGAAAAGAAGTTCTGCAGCTTGGAATGTCCACATTTTTAAGTAATGGAAAATTCTTAGAACACTTGTAAATTGATGTGTGTAGGCTCGTGCTAACTGATTTATTCTGTTGTTGATGCATGATGAGGTAGACGACAGAAATTAACCTGGCAATAAAATTGCCCATATTTATATTTTTGGTGGCTTCTTCCTAATTTGAATCTTAGAAAAATAGAAATGTAGGACTGTAAGGGATCTGAAAAGATCAAGTCCATCTGCCTTTGCAGGATTAAGTATACATAAACAATCCCTGACTGGTGTTTGCTAACCTATTCTTAAAAACCTCCAAGGATAGGGATTCACCACCTCCTTTATGTAACCTGTTACAGTACTGAACTATCCTTGTAGTTAGCAAGTTTTCCTTAATATCCAACCATGCTCAGTATATACCATGAAAATACTGTATGATTGTAAGTCAGGACTGATTGTGAAAGGCTGATTGATTTCAGGCTGTTACCAACAACTTCCAAGGATGAGTGTGTCAAAGTAATTCCTACACTCAAAGTAACATAACAAAACATTCTGAAATAATGCACT